ACTCACTAGGGGGGACCAGAAGGGTTTGGGGGAGACGCTGTTTCCCCTAGCGCCCGCTGGCATAACAAGGAGTAATGGGCACAAGTTGATGGAGAGGAGGTATAGATTGGACATCTGCAAAAACTACCTCACAGTTAGGGCGGCTAGGAGCTGGAACCAATTTCCAAGGGAAGTGGTGCTGGCCCCTACCCTGGGGGTCTTTAAGAAGAGGCTGGATGCCTACCTGGCTGGACTCATTTGAGTCCCGTTTCTTGTTTTGGGGTTTTGTTGTTCTTCCGCCCTGGCGGGGGGTCGGGCTAGAAGATCTACTAGGTCCCTTCCGACCCTAAATCTATGAAACTATGACATAATAAATGGAAGAATTCAGGAAGGAGTAGCTCTGAGATGTAAATGGCTTCTAGATGCAGATATTCCTGTACTTGACTCAGTTTTGCATACTAGTTTGAGATTAGGAAACAATCTTACTATAAAAAAAATGGATAAAATTTGCATTGGCTCAGCACTGAATTGATTGACATTATAATTGCCCTATTCTAAGATGTTTATGAATTTCTTTTGTGCTAAGGCAAGAAATGTAATTTGTGAGGGACTTGACTATTGTTTGTTATTTTTTTTGTCTATCTGATTCCACAACCAGCTGGTCATAAGAAGAATGGTGACAGAATGTACTTCCCTAAGAGTCCATATGACTCTGCTAGTTTTCCTACACGTCAGGGTTTTCATGCATGGGGAAATGAAGACTGATTGATTGATTTAAGCTAATGAGGAAAAGAGATTGGAACTGTCAATCCAGGCCACAGTCTGAATATAGCTGCAGTGCACCTTGTGTGTTAATTCTTTTTCCTCCCCCACATAGGAAACACAAGGCACAAATAAGATTAGTTGGTGCTTAACAGTATCAGGTCAGCCTGCCCTCCTTACAGGACTGTTTAAATCCAGACAATGTCAGTTGATTTCAGTGGATTTACCTTGTGTAAATGAGAGTAGTTTCTGCCCATACATCATATAATTAAAAATAACCAAAACCCCCAAACCTGAATATGGGGCCAAATCGTGTGTAGCCCTTTCTATTTTAGCAAAAGTAGAAGTGATACAGGCAGTCGCATTTTCCATGAGTTTGTTTCCGTAGTTGAATTTGCAGTGATTGCAAAGAACAACAGTAGTTGATTTAAAAAAAAAAAAATAATGAAACAGTGCAGCATTTTCTTTTTCCCCATCTCAATACATTCTGGATTATGCAGAAGTTTTCATCTCTGCACACTGACAGCTGTTCATCTACCAGGTATTGTGCTTTTTTCATGATAGCAGTTTAAAAGAACTCTAAGCAAGCTGCTGTTTCTCATGCATCACTGAACTGCTTCTCACCTGAGGCTTTTTTGTTATCATTACAACAGTTAATTGGGATAGAGGATTTCTGGTGCTTTATGTGCCCAGAGTGCATTTTTATTGCTATCTTTATGGATAAATTCTTTGGCATGAGAAACTATGTGTTGCCAGACAATTCTGAGCTGTGGATAAACTCTTCTGAATTGGTGGCTTTACTCATTAGCATAGTAACAGAAACAAAATCATGGTTGAACTTCCTAGACGGTGTTAGTTTAGCAGTGAATTGACATAATTGCTTTATTCTGAGCTGTTTATGAGCTGCTTTTTTATAAGGTCCGGAAATACCTGCTGATAATGAAGGACTGTAATGTTGTTTACTACCTTTTGTACAGCTGAGATTTTTATACCATGAACTCCAGGGTGATCTGTTCTCTCTCATATCTCTGCAGTTATTCCAATATTGCATCGACTCTGCTCTCTAATAAAACTTTAGAAAATTTTTTACACAGATTAAACCTGGTAATCACTTCTGCCATCTGCAGGCCACGTTTTGCCATCCCTAATTAGGTTAAGTATTTCCATGCATGTTAATGACCCTTCTCAAGGAATGTGGTTGTGTTTTTAACATAAGTCTGGAAGAATCTGACCTTAATAATATAGATCCTGACAGTGCTGTTGCCCCAGCAGAAATCAGAAATGACTCTACTGAAGTTAGTGCATTAAACCATTGCTCTAATGGTAGGTTGTAGGAATTACTGGGTGAAACATTATGGCCTATGTAGTGGAGGGCATCAGACTAGATTATCACAATGACCCCTTCTGGCCTTAAAGTCTGTCTGCGTTATGTCAATGTAAAGCGGGGCTACAATTTGAATCCATTGAGCTCAGAACTGATGTCATCTCTGTGTACTGGTTTCCTATAAAAATTCTGTGCACAAAGGATGTCATAAGTAAATCTGGCTAAGACTGCACAGAACTGTCAAAGGAAATGCTCCGAGTACTTGCCTGTTAGAGCAAAAAAAAAACCACGTTTATTTTGTGGGGCTGGATGAGTTTGACACCCCTGCTTTAGATATCCCTCTTCATATACACTCTCTAAACAATCCACTCCTGCAACTGGGAGAGACAGGATACTGGGGTAGATGGAAAATTGTTTTGACCTAGTAAGGTACTTACATTTTCATGCACTTATCAGAACCTGTAGTAAGGCTTGACACCTCTCTGCCTTTTATCTGCAGTCAGCAATCCCCACAGATCATCTTGCTGAATCACTAAAACCCTAGCATACCATTTGAAGCCTATTGCGTTTGTCCCTGCATTGGCTTATAATTGATTTCAGGGTCTTTCTTTCCTGTGGCTATTTGTCTATCACTTTTTCTCAATGTGATGTTGTTTCTTGAGGATAGGTGTGTAAGTATATTGTGGAAGTTGAGTGGAGAGAGTCCCCTGAGCTTTGTCAAAGTTGTGAAGCATTTTTTGAACAAAGGGAAAATATCTGCAGTAATGTCTGTGTCCAGCTCTTCCTGAAGTCGGTGCAGAGATGCTTTCAGTGCAAATTAAGACTTGCTGGAAACAAGAGTGTTCTTGCTCACAGTTGGGAGCCCAACTGCTTCCTTCAGTGTTACTGCATGTTGCTTCTCTCACTCTGCATAGTATATGTGGAAGCATAGATGACTTTGAGATCTGTGTTGTGGCATATAGCAAAGTATTGGGGTTATTTTGTACTGGCCTCCTTCAGGCTTCAAGGTACACTGTTGACTGGCGGTACATGCAAAGACTGACTGTCAGAGATTTATTTGAAAATTGCATATTTCCCTCAAAAGTTTGTATTTAGTATCATTTGTACAGGCACCTCTAAAAAGTACTTCTGCCTTTCTGATAGAACATATCCCAGTAGATAGTTTTTTCTTTGTTTAAATTGTCAACTCTTCCGGGCAGTTTTCCATCTGTTTTGTTTGGGGTTGAACATACAGTAATTTGGTTGTAATAGAATTCTGTTGTATATACAGTGTTATCACAGACCTGAATGTGTTCTCCTCTTTTCAGGAAAAGTGCTGGTGTTCCTGGACAGTCACTGCGAGGTGAATGAGATGTGGTTGCAACCTTTGCTGACTCCAATCAGAGATGATCGCAAGACAGTGGTGTGCCCTGTGATTGACATAATCAGCGCCGATACACTTACCTACAGTTCTTCTCCAGTTGTGCGTGGAGGGTTTAACTGGGGCCTGCACTTTAAATGGGATCTTGTTCCTTTGTCAGAACTAGAAGGACCCGAGGGAGCTACTGCTCCAATCAAGTAAGATTTGCATTACTTGTGAAGGAATCTATTGGTTACAAGTGTCTTTTTGTGATAGAGAGAGAACATTTCTTAAGCATTATGGAGTAAATGTGGAAATGCATCTTTAAAAGCAGAGCTTAAATTACAAAGTATCTGTCTTGTTCATTTTTACTGAATTACCTTGGAAAAGATTAAACTTAAGAATCTTAACAGAAAAAGCCCTTTCTAACCAATATGTCTGCCCTGTAATGGCAAGAAAAACACATTTTTAGGGAATGATTGATTATACAGTATCGTATTTGCAATGTTATTCCACAAACATGGTTTCTTACAAGTTATTGTAGATATGTACTATGCAACAATTTTACATTTTATTGGTGTGTCTTGCTTTATTGGGGGGGGGTGTGTGTGGTATATATAGGTGTGTATATATGTGTGTGCGTGCCATGTCTTAGTGCACATGGATTAAAGATGGTGGTATTGATTTTTCACTTTCACAGTGATACTCGTCTGTATATCCCTATGGCATCTTTCTCCAGAATGGCCTTGACTAGTTGGTAATAAACTGCTAGCTTTAGGAAATTCCTCTTGGTAAAAGAAGACAAATGCCATAGCTGATAACAGAAAAACTATTACAGCAGTTCTCCAAAAAGCTTTTCTGTCCCATTTTCATTTTAGTCTGTCCAGATTTTCAGACTTTTTTTTTTCCCCCCTCCTGGACTGTTGTTTATGTAAATTTTCTACTTCAACATTCGTGGATATGAAAGCTACCTCAAAATATTAGCCATAGCCTCATGCTTTGTGGCAAATATCTGAAATAATTAATACTGTCTGGAGTCAACTCTGAATTGGAGCAATGATCACCTAGAGTGCTTGAAAGGAGTATTCTTCAAAGCAAAAAACTAAGTTAAACTGAGCACACTAGGACTTGGAGCACCTTCTTGGATCTTTCAATCAGTGGCTCTCTGGTGACCTATATGAAATTTGGCAGTATCAGTTTAGTCCCTATTTTAGATCAGTAACCAGACCATTAAATGGCCACCCTATTAGAAACTGTATCTTAGCAGAGGGTATATTAACTAGGTTTGGAGAAAGAAAAGGTCATTCTTTTGAGGAGAGGCCTCCAGTGACAAAGTTCAAGTTGTCGGAGCAGTATGGAGAGTCTGATACTGTTGCCTGTTTTCTTGTTAGAGGTCCTTATTTTCTCAGGTTCATAAATGAGCGCCATTTGCTGGCATCAAGACTTCATAAAATGAAAGCACTTAAATCTTCTGAAAGTAATTCATGTATTTATTGCGGTATGTGGTGCTTTGTTGGTTTTTCTTCCAGATGGATCTTGAAACCTTGGCTATATTGTCTTTTTCCTCTGTTATTGGAATGGAATTAACATATTATAAGTTGACTTGAGCAGCTCCAATGCTGTGGTTTGAAGACTATGCAACATTATTTCCACATCTTCCTGTCATAAGATTTCATCTAAGGGATCCAGGAAACATCTCGTATTACTACTTTAGAGATGGATTGCTGAGCCAATCTATTTAGAAAAATACCATGGTGGTGGCTTCTTAAATCTGGCAGAGAAGTAATGTAGAAAACTTAACTTTTACTCCATTTTAGAAACCTTTGTTAAAGATGATCTGTAATATGCTTGAAGAGGCAGTCTTCTCTCTTGGCAAAGCCACCATTGACTTTTGAGGGAGTTTGGCCCATCAAACGTCTCTGTGACTGGAGAAGAACGCAAATAACGTTAATCGAGTTCCACCATCCAAGATGACTAAACTTTCTTAGTTTGGGTCTGACTTTTTTTTGAAAGGCTCTCATATTGCTGAAATAATATTCTAAAGGGCTCTTGAAACTCCCCAAGCATAGTTTTTTTTTATCTAATAGAAAGATTTTTGCTTTCAATTCATCCGTCCCCAGCCTGCAGCACATTTGATTATACAAGTCTCCAAATAGCAAGGTTTCTTTCAAGGTAGATGGTAAACAGTGAAAACCTGGAGTAGTTAGCTGGTATGTGAGACCAAACAAGGGAACCCAAACCCAGGGCTGGTCAAGACATGACAGTTTTGTTGCATTTTTTTCACTCGACTAGGATTGGATGATGAGCATTTCTGATGTATTTGCAAGGTTATTTCTTTTTCTATTTAGTTTATTAGGGCAGCAGTACCCTGAGGTTTCCTGATTATAAGCAAAATTTTCTAGGTGATGCAGGAGAACTTCAGTTTATAGAATGGAAATTAATGTACAGATTTTTTTAAACTATAAAAGATGGTGACATACCAGAGTCTCTTCATTTAAAGACTTTACTACATAGAAGAGGACTAGGGAACCCCTATGATGATCAAATAACTATAGAAGAGTTATAATAAGTTAATGATGGTATATCTGTAGTTCTGGATTTGGAGTCAGTTTGAGATGAAAGAAAAACTCTTTAAGTCCTGTTAGATTTACCAATTGAAGCTTGGTCTTGGTTGTGCGTAGATGAGATGATGGTCTTGCCTGATACAAATGATACTGAAAAATGCCACTAAGTATAGTGTACCCTGGAATTTACTATTTTTCCCAGTTAGGGCAACCTCAGAATAAATTAGTTCTGCATTTGAAAAGGTACATAGCAACCTTTGTATGTGTGCATGTGCCTTTACAGATATACGGTTGATAATTGCATATATACCTTCTGGATTAAGAGCAGCATAATTAATCAGTTGAAGCAGAAAGATGTAGCTACTCTCTTGGTGCTAAAGAGGCAGAAATTCAACTTGAAGACACTAAAGAGTAGGGTGATGAGTTCATTATTCGCATGTAGTCCTGTTCTCAACTGCTCTTGTAGTGTCTAAGGCTTATGCTTTTTTTTTTTTTTCAGATTCCAGCCATGGAAGATGAGCTGTATCTTCAGAAATTCAGGCGGGCAACCCCTGTGTTCCACTATAAAAAGATTGAGAAACTCCCAACTTAAACAGTTTTTCAGTGTAGCTTTCATGAGGGAGGGAGGAAGAGAGAGAGAATGAATAAAATAAAAACTATAAACATACATATTTATAACAATATTTAAATAATAATAATTTTTAATACAATAAAGTATAAATATTATAATATAAATAAATGAAATGATACAACTGCTAAAGAATTGGTTCTCAAAAAAGTGCGCATTTTGAGAACTGATTTTTTAGCAGTTGTATTAAGCTTTTGTTTTTAATTCCAATAACCATGTTATGTTTATATACATCATGTAAGTAAGAATGATGTATTCTTTGCATATCTGCCTTTAACAATGGATTAATTGTCAATGGGGACCTTTTTTCTCTTCCAGATCACCTACCATGGCAGGAGGATTGTTTGCCATGGACAGAGAATACTTTAATGAGCTTGGACAGTATGACAGTGGCATGGATATTTGGGGAGGTGAAAATCTGGAGATATCATTTCGGGTAATACTGCCTTTTATGTTTATAGTTGGGTACTCTTCTTCTTTCTTTCCTTTTCTCTAGGAAGAGATTCATTAGCACTGGAATAGCTATTGAATGTATTGAAACTGTGTTAGATTTTTGCCCAGTAAGAGGATGCTTTCAGTATATTGAATATTTTTAGTATTGTTAAAAGTAATTAGAAGATGATTTGTAAGTGGAAGATCAGAGCCAGTTTTTTCTAATATCTGACAGCTCTTTTGTTCATTTTAGAGCTTTTCTTTGAGGCTTTTCATGCAGCATCAGAAGTGACACTTCAAAATAATTTTAGAACTATAAAAATTGACAGAGGCAGATGCAGGCACATATAATACCTGTGATTATTTTTAACTCATTTTGTGAAATTCATTGGACTTAACACCTATAGTGAGCCCCTGAATATAAACAGGTTTATTTACTTTATATTTCTCTACACACAAAAGGGCTTTACAAACCCAACAAAATCTGTTCTAGATGATGGGTACAAAACCACTTCGTGATTATGCAAAGATGTAGGCTCAGTGGGACTGGAGAGAGGGAAAATGGAACAATCAGTAGGTTTTCCATAGTTATTTCACTAGCATTGCTATATTTTGTGTCCTTTTTATATGTGAAAATAAACTACATTTAAAGCTGTTGTTTTTTTTAGTAGTAGTTTCATTGTCGCAACATTTGTTTCTTACAATTCAGTAGGCCCATTGATTTGGTCATTAAGTATGGGCAAGTATCTGGCAGGGCTCATTAACAGCATCATCTACTGGCAAATGTTTTTAACCTCTGCGAAGTCGGTAACAAATATACTTGAAAGAAATTCTTTCTGCAAACAGAGTCTTTCTGTGGGCAAAGGAGGTAGGAAGCACATATGAGAGGGCATTGAAGGGTGGAAAGCAGTGACTTTGGAAAGACATTGGAAATTAGGATGACTCGCTTGCTAAGTATGAGCTCCCACCCAGTGCGATGCTGTGGCTACAGTCATTGGCAGTAGAATGGCAGTAAGGAGATAATAGTCTAGAGAGGCAGTACTGAGGCCATTACTGGAATACTACTCCCAATTGGGATGTCTGTACATGACAAGAAACTGGACCCGAAAAGAGCTTATAGGGATGATTCCAGATCTGGTAACCCTGCTTTCCAATGAGAGGCTTCAGAAACTCAGTCTGTTTATCTTATCTGAGAAAAAGGTAAAAGCTGACTTGACTGGAGTCTTAAAGTAGCTGATTAAGAAGATGATGTCCGAGAGGGGAGAGCTCTTTAGCCTAGCAGAAAAATCCAGTGGCTAGAAGCTGAAACTAGAAAAATTTCAGAGTCAAAGTAAGGGGACCATTAAAATAAGATTGGCTATCTTTCAAAGTCAGATGTAATTCAGTCAGGAGTTCTGGGCATGATACAAGAATTACTGGCTTGTGGTTGATGTTATGCAGGAGATCTGACCAGATGATCATAATGGAGTTTTTTTGGCCTGCAGTCTAGTAATTTTACTTTCTAGAAAGAAGGTCAGGTAGAATAACCATGTTAATGTTTAGTACCTTTTGGCTCTCTTTGGGAAGGCTGTTCAGGATGTGTGTATAACATGCATACAGCCCATGTGGGAAACCCATTAAACTACTACCACTTGTGAAGATTAACATAGTTTGTTTAATGGAAATTGCCTTGTTAAAGTGGAGAAGAATTGTAATTTGGGGATGTTTTAAGTGTGTAGGAGTTTGGCTAATGATGACATCCTTTTCTCCAGGTTATAATGTCAAGGGCACTACAACAGCAGTAGCGGAGGCAATAGTTAAGGTTACACGAGAACGCCCATTGTGTCAGCGAGCCTGTACTTGGAAGTTACACTAGGATTTCTGTGCTAGTTGAAGGAACTATTATAATTGCACTAATAAAAGCCCTTGTATATAGATACAGATTTACCAGTAAGAAGATGCCTTCTAGCAGAGTAGTTATTCTCTTATCCAGGAAAAATCACATTTATTCTGGTGTAGCTGTTCACATAGATGGTATGCTATTTTGACTGCATTTGTTCTTAAACCTTTTTAGCGTAGACAACGCCTAACTTCTTTTTAGTCATTCATAACTTTCTAAAGCTTTCACCTTTTGTCCTTAAGAGGTCCATTGCAGGGCTTTTGTCTGAAGATTAAATATTAAAAACTGAGGAAGAATGTTTTGGCCACTTTTAAGTAAAAAGAGAATGAAGAAAATATATCTTGTTATTTAAAAAACACACACAAACAACCAACCCCCCTCCCAAAAATAACTTGCAATTTTTTATTTTGAACAGCTTGGAAAATGGCTGGGAGCTGATAGAGGTGATTGGACATGGAAATTGCCCTGTTTTAAGAATAAAGCCCTGCCTGAGGAAACTGGTTTGGATTTAGCTTGTTTCAATGAGCTTTTGAAAACAGAGCAGTAAGAATGTACAATACGGCCCAGCTATCATCCCTTAAAAAATAAGCCTTTTACGGGCTATAAAATGATGTGTCTTCTGCTTCTGTGTGGACAGATCTGGATGTGTGGGGGCAGACTACTAATCATCCCTTGCTCCAGAGTGGGACACATTTTCCGTAAGAGGCGCCCATATGGCTCCCCTGGGGGGCAGGACACCATGGCACACAACTCTCTGCGTCTGGCACATGTGTGGATGGACGAATATAAGGTAAGAGGTGGCTAGGGATTGAAATGGGAATGGTCCACTGAAGTGTATGGGTACTTCCTTGGACCTCCAGCCTCTGTCCCCTAAATGTGCCAGTCAGTTCCTATCCAACCATGAAGTGTTAGTGAGTATGACAAGACTGAAGAAGATCCCTTCAGTGCTTCAGACACTGCTCCAGGCCTCTGTTCCCTGCCAGCACTGCTGCAGGTGTCCTTTAGCTGGTGCCCTGTTAGTCAGGTCTGGTTTTTATTTTTTCCCAGGTAATAGTCTGACCCCTTGGGTCTCCTTTAGTTCTGGGGGTGGTCAGATGGGAAATTGTACTGTGTTTGTGTGTGTTGCTCTCTACCTTCCAGGTTCTGATTCTGTTTTTGAGTCCAACCTTTCAGCAGGCTGTTTTGCTTCTTGATGCCTCTGGTACAATTTTTCCCTCGACCCCTTAAAAGCTGTTTTGTGTTTGCCACTTGTGCTCTGCTATCTGCAGTTTATATCTGGGTTTACAGCACTGTGCACGGGTGCTTTGAGCCGCCTCAACCTGGTTTACCTTGATGCTCTAGCAGTGTTAGGTGCTTTTTAGCTTCATCCATTTCATCTGTGTTTTCCAGCATTTCAGCACTTTATCCTGTTTGGCACCTTGGTGTCCTTTCATCACCACTTTAGCTTATTATGTACAGTTAATGTTGGTTTTCCTGGAAGCTTTGGTTTGCTTCATGTTTTGTTCCCAATTACACTGTGCTGTTTGAGAAGGCCTTTACATGCTGATTCTAACAAGGTTTTACCTTGGATCTGTACTTTGGCCTTGTGTTGGCTGTTGAGTCCTTCAGCTGTTTCTAATCTTGTTCTTGGAAACTAGCCACAGTTTCATTCTTTCATTATGGCAAACTTAGGGGTGAAAGATAGGTCTGGAAATACTTCCTTCTTTTTAAATATAATAAAAATGTTTAGTCCCAGGATTATATTGACTTTGTCACTGTAGGGTGAATTTCCCAGAGGTATGAGTTGTATAAGTGACATGTTTTCTTCTGTTTTGTAAAATAATTTGGCAGAGAGAAAGTAAAATAGTTACGTTTTATATTTTATCTTTACATTTGTGGACAAATACAATTTAGACCTCTTCAGTGTGAGATGCAAATACACAATGCAAAAGTAAAACACCATAGTTGCATCATTGAAGGAGAAAGGAAGAGTTAAACTACTTTATAACTTTTTAAGATGGAACAATAATACACAATTAGACACTTCATACAAAATGTACCTAATGTATTCCTGTGTGAATGCACAATTACTCTATCCATGGTCTGTGTGTGAGACTTGCGTTAGTCGTCGTTGTCTTCCTTGTTCCTGGCACAGAAATATCAGTGATAACATCACTGTGCCTTACAACCCACTAAAATTTCAGGAATAGCAGGTACATAGTCTTTATTACAGTATCAGAGATGAGTCCTGAAAATGAAAATAAGGTCACATCATTTTCACCAGCAAATTCTACCCATCGTGTATAATATGGATCTATTCAACAAAGTGCCAGGGTTCTGGGCTCATTGAATATGCATTCTCTAAACTTCTTTATTATTTTTCTTTGTTACGTACAGTCACAGTCTGGGATTTGAAAATCAACTGGGGAATTGTTCTTCACGTATCAGCAGCAAATTATGTTTTGCAAACCATATTATGCCAGTTGAGGAGTACATCAGTTCCTTTTGCATTTTTGGTGGGGGTATATGTGGTTGAACTGAGGGAATATCTGAGCCTGAATCCGAGTCTTTCCAATGCCATCACATACTACTTCACTTCGGGCACAACCAAAATGCAGCCTGTAGGATCTTCATTACGTGCGCTGAGGCTAGAGAAAGAATGAGCCCTGTTTAACTGAGAATCCAGATTAAAGGCATGATCCTGCAAGCGCAAGTGAAAACATTTAGTTGCATGCATAGTCCTATTGAAATCCATGAGAATAATTGTACAATTAAGGTTATCCATAACCATGTTCATTTGCAGGAAGATACCCTGGAAGAGGCTCATAGGGGGACTATAGACTCTTTCATAAATGTTTGGTATTACAATTATTGAAGCATGATAAGCATTGGAATTCCATAATTACATCTTTAGAGTCAGTTTTTAAAAGAACTAATACATTTGGTCAGTAGTGAAGTGGAACAGTTGTGTAGTTTGCGTTATGTGCTGGAATAGGTGCTGTTAAAACTGAGTACCAGACAGATGGTAGATGGTGCTGATCTGCTTTCTTCCCTGATTTCTGTTTGATGTAGGAACAATATTTTGCCCTAAGACCTGAACTAAGGACCAGAAGCTATGGAAACATTACTGACCGTGTGGAGTTGAGGAAAAAATTGAACTGCAAGTCATTTAAGTGGTATTTAGATAACATCTACCCAGAGATGCAAGTGTCTGGGCCCCATGCCAAAGCTCAGCAACCGGTATTTATTCACAGAGCACAAAAACTACCAAAAATAATCAAACGTGGAAGGGTAAGATGATCAACTTGTTTAGAAACCCCTGGTTTCTTTCTTTTTATGTGGTTTTGAAACTTATTCTTAAAAAATGCACCCAGAATCAAGTAAAATGGGCTGTATTCATGGCAGATGTGGGTGGTGACTGTATGTTGTAATAGCGAAGCTTAAAAAAAATCTAAAGTAACTAATATTTTTCTTGAAGTCCAGACATGAAATGGAAAAGCTTTAAGGCTCCATAATGTGTTTCAGGTCCTTTTTTAGGTGATTCAGTATTGAAGCAGTATCTTGTCCTATGGTGAAGGTGCTTAAGTATTGTTCAGGTGGGCTGCCCTCATGCTAACTTGAGCTCCTGAGAATAAATTTTGGAGAGAGAAGAAAGTCTGTCAATGTCATGCTTTGTTTGTTCAAAATTGGTGTACAATGTCATTAGCTTTTCTAACTTGATGAATTTATTAGGTCGTTTTCTACAAAAATGATCATTTAATTTTTGAGAGGGAAAGTGCCTCTTGCTCAACCACTAAGGGTTGAGGCAGAATAAGGAATTTTGCTCCTTGCTTTGTTTTACAAAGCAAGTCATAATATGTTTTGTGCTAGTGGGAGCTTTAGCTAGAATAGCCACCAGTGCTGAATAAAACTTTTGAAAATGTTGCATGGGTCATAGTTTCTAGGGTCGGAAGGGACCTGAGAAGATCAT